GCAGACGAACACTTAAACTTGTCTGAAAAAACATATGACGCTAAACCATTTGTCTGGGCTCTCATATGAGCCTTAAGCATTTGTCTGCCAGAACATATGAACTATAAAATTTGCGCCTGAAACATAGACCAACAGACTAAAATAGTCTGATAACGAGGGCCCTGCCTCATACCGTATCAGGCAACCTCGTATCAGATTCGCGTCGAACCGCACTAAAACGCATCCAACCGCAGTCGAACACACTGTAACGTATTTCACCACGAAGCTGATACGAGGTGTGTCTGATACGAGGTGTAGGAACACACTCTTAGGCATGGGGCCAGCTGTGATTGCAACATTGGCTCTTATTTACAGGCTTCTCCCTCTGGAGTGACAAACGGAACACTTGGGTGGTGACCTACGGTAATGGTACATGGCACTTGTTAGTGACCTAACCCTATTCAACATCTTCAAGCGTCTTTTCATGTGTCCCAGGCCTCAGCTCTTGAGATCCACATTACACCTGTGTATGATACCATCATTCGCCGTCACATATGCCAACCAGTACGGTCTGAAGTGCTTCATTGCAGTATCCAACCATGGTTTCTGCACAGCACATCAAACGAACCAAAGGAAAGAACAGGGTAAGGTGCAAGACTTTCTCACACGAACCGGTAAATGACAAACCGGCTGAGAGCAGCAATGTCATCAAGTTGTAAGAGCCCATCTTACCCAGTTGCCATTGTAGTGCACAACAGCGGCCCTCTGCACGTCCTCCAAGGGCACGTCCTTGTTGTACCCCAGGCCCAGCACGTGCCAGTGCGCGTCCAGCGCCTGCGTGCGGTTGTAGAACGTCATGAGCCCCGGGGGCAGCGTCCCCAGCTGCCACAGCGACCGGTCCGCATTCTGTGGTGCGCAGCCATGGTTCCCACAGGGAAACGAATGACGAGGGGCACAGATGATAGTAGAGGGGTCAGACAAGATGGGCGTGATCAGGGGGGGACTGACTCCAACTATATATCCAGCACCCCTGCTAATCCTCTCCACCCGCATCCCAGCACGCCGCCCCCAACGCACCATGGTCTGGAACTTGTGGTAGACAGCAGTGAGGTTGTGGAGCCGCCACGCGTGCAGGTCAAACACGTTCATGCCGTACGCCCAGCCACAGGCGTTGGGGTCGAAGTGTGCCTTGATGTAGGGGTGCGAGAAGTTGAGGTACTTGAAGAGGCGGTGGAAGTCGCCCACACACGTGAACACAGCGCCGTTCACGTTGCCGTGCAGGGGCAGTGTGAAGAGCGGTGCAAGGTCCCTCTGCACCACAATGTCGTCATCCAGGAACACCACTCGGTTGAGCGTCGGGTACATCTGGTGTGCGCATGGGCAGACCACCGGAGGGGACACAGAGAGGGTTGGTGCATGCACGTGGAGGCGGGATTACCACTGGAGTGCTGTGTGCGGTATGGGGGGCAAGGCAGGGACGCACCTCAGGCAGGTAGAAGCGCAGGTGGTTGAGCATGGAGAGGTACTTGGGGTTCTTGAACTTGAGCTGAGTTGGGCCTGCTGTTGCCTCCGCGGACGCCCCTCCAGACGCCCCTCCAGAAACGTGCTTCTTGTCTGCACATCAGCGGAGCACGGGCATTACAGCAGTTCTGTCGTCATCCACGTGGAATGCAGGCGCACAAGTTTGGATGCTGTCACAACTACATCATAGCAGCTGCTGCAGCCCGGCATGCTTTTCTTCGCTACATGCTAGCATGCATGGGGCAGCGGCTGACCTTCAGCAGCCTGCTGCGAGAAGTAGAAGGCCTTGAGGCTTGTTGCCTGCAGCTGCTGCAGCACGGGGCAGTAGGAGGCGTTGAGGAACGAGTATTGCTCCACGGCCTTGATCTCCAGAGCCATCTTGCCTGGCGGGTGCAGCGCGAACCACGCTCGCATGGCTGGCAGATTCATCTCGTCCGTCACCACGTGGAACACATGCCTGCCAGAGAAACGGATGCGGGTAAGACGCACGCGTACAGAAGCATGACAAACTGCAACCGACAAGCAGCCATGCACGCATGCTAGTGCACCACCGTTGGAGGCCCGCCAACAGCATGGCATGCAGGCGAGTGCTGCAACGGAGAGTTGATGTGCGTGCTGCTTCACAAATTACTTTTCAGGGTTTTTGGCGTTCTGCAGTGTGGAGTTGACCACGACGGACACGGCGAGCACATTATCTGAGAAGAGGGCGTAGTGGTACAGCGACGGGTCCTCGAACCTCCTCGCCTGCTTGCTCTCTCGCACCCTCGTGACCTCCTTGATGTGCTCGTTGCTGCCATACGCCTGCCACACGATCGCCACGCAAATCAAGAGTGATTCGAAGTCACAGATTGGTGGAAAGCTTACACGGGAACAAGCGGTAGCTAGGCAAGTAGGTCGACGACGAATCTGTGCGGTCACAGGTTTGGTGCGGTGGAAAGTCGGGAACAGAGGTATTCGGGATGGGGCTCACCACGGCGAGTCTGAGGTTGAGGCAGTGCAGCGCCTTAGGGAGCGCCTTGGCGGCAGCGAGGTCGAGCTTGTTGCGCTCCTTGCTCACGGCTTTCAGCTTCGTCTTCATCTTATCCACCTCGCCTCTCAGCCGTTCGATCAGCGTCAGCGTGCTGCGCCACTCCTGAGCACGCGCCCTCAGGGACTCCAGCAGCTTGATCACCCCGATCGCCTTCTCCTCGCCGCCCCACGCCCGCGCGCTTTTCCATGCCTCCACCAGCGGCTCCGCGCGCTCTAGCGCAGCGCGCACGTGCTTGACGAGCTGCGCGTTGTCGCACCTCGTGGCGTCCGGCAGCACAGCGGCGACCTGCGTCACGAGGTCCGCCATCATGGCCATGTATGACTCGCGCTTCGCCTCCGGCACCTGATCTGCCGCCGCCGCTACCGCCACGCCACTGGCCTTCAGCGCCGCCGTCCCGCGAGCCGTCGCCGCTGTGTGCCGCTCGCGATCGTCCAATTCGGTCTCGTCCTTCACCTGCCATTTCTGCTTCATACCCCTATCGCCGTCCGACCCGTTCTGATCCAATGAGAGCGAGGGGCTCTCTGACTCCTCCTCCACCACGGCCTTCGTTTCATCCTCCTTTCGCGCCGGCGACGATGCTTCTTCGACCAACAAATTGTCGCCGTCATCCATCGCAGAGCTTCCTTCGTCGCCAGCGAATCCGTCCGTACCGTCTGCGTCCTGCTTCACGACCGCCTGCTCGGCCTGAGATACATCCGCCTGCTTTGGAAAACCTCCCCGGGGCTCTGATAGGCTGACCACCTCCTCGATTTGAAGAACGCCCGCGCGCGGTTGCAATTGCTCTGCTGCGATGCGTGCTGTTGGGCCGCCATCCTGGATCGGAGGAGAAATCTGTGAGTTATAGCGAACACGAAAGCGGTGCTGCGTGAGGGTGAAAGCGAACTGGTTGAACCAGCAATGTTAACTAACCTCTGAACCAGTCGAATACGTCACGACGGTGGTTGCCATGTCTGAGCGGAGTGAACGGAAATGTCGTGTCAGTGTGAGCATCAGGAGGGATAACGAACGAGGGAGATACGAATGATGCGTGAGGACGTAGGGTTCTGGCGTGCTGACCTTGAATTGCTGACGGGGAGTTTGAGAAAGTGGCCCAGAGGAACAGAGGTATAAGCAGAACGCACGCCATGAGACCACATCCCAGTCGCATGCGTGAGGAAGTGGGGGGTGTGTCTCGAGTAAACGACTTCACTCTGCGCAATGGCACGTCTGACCTGCAGAGAATCACGAGATACGGAGTTCATTAAATCTTCTGAACCTTGACCGAACCTCTGCCTGATCAGACAAACCGATGCTCAGCTGCGCGATGCTGAGTTTGGAAATTATTATAGTTGGTAGCGAAAATTCCCAAGACGCTTCGGACGATGATACTCACTTGGGAACAGCTGGATAGCTGGCTGTAGGTGAGCCCATCCTCACAGTCTGGGCTGCTTACACTAGCTCCACTCCCTCGTAAACGCGGTACAGGTTTACTTAGGGAGATCAGCTGCCATGCAGCAACTTGGGAGTTGCAGTGAGTGTTGAGTGAGTAAGGGCAAGGAATGTATCGTTGAAGGTGGTGGTGGTGACCGTAGTGGCGGCGCGGGGTGATTGAGAATCAGCTTCTCCTGGAAATGCCGACTGTCACCCAACTCCCAACTCCGGAGTCTGGAAGCCCCCGACGCGAGTCTCTTGGGTCCCTCCCGATTCGACCCAACCAATCCCCATGCGTCTGTTGGGTGACGTGCGCAGTGTGCGCTTCGGTGAGTCAGAGTGACCCCTCGAGAAATTCGGCTCTGCTGGTGGGGTTGGACGTTCTTGGGATCAGTGGGACGACCTGCCGATAGATTTCAGTGAACAAGCCATCAGCTGAATATTGACGTTTCTCTTCTGGGACGGTTTGGAACGGGTCCCAAACGTTTTCGTTCTTCCCAGTTCACGTTGAAAGTCTTTTGAGTTAAAGCGACGGGCAACTTTTGGCAGTGTTGGGTTCAGAAGTTTTTTTTTTGAACCAGGCTTGCCAGCGCGAAAGTGCTGGCTGGCGAAAACCAGGATTTCGTGCGGACACTTTCCATCCGCAGTAACAGTTCGCCAGGGTTCTGGGTTTCGGGTGGCAAATGTGCACCGTCGCTTTAACGCAAAAATACCCCGGATCAGACTTCGTTAAAGCTCGCGTCTCATATTTCCTGGTTCCAACCATGTGTTAAAGCCCGAGGTCAGCATGGTTTTTGCAACAGTGACGCGAGGGCTTTAATCGTGTTCGCGAAAGGCATAAAAAAAACATTTCGAGAACTGAACAGGTGCGAAAGCGAAACCAGGCAGCGACGAGCTTCAGCACTCTCACCCAACTGTGCGACACTGCACCACGAGTTTGGTGCTTGGAGGGGGTTAGAAAGCGAAGCCATGTGCGTAGATTGGTTTGAAAATGCATGCGACTCGTCGCCGTCGCCTACGTTCACTCCCCTCCGTCGCCCACGCGACCATTCCCCCGTCAATGTCTCACACTTCCCTCCATCGCCATAGCTCACTCCCTCTCATCGCCTTCGCGCACTCCCCTCCCGTCGCCTTCGAGCACTTCCCTCCCGTCGCCTTCGCGCACACCCGTCCCGTCGCCTTCGCGCACTCCCCTCCCGTCGCCTTCGCGCACTTCCCTCCCGTCGCCTTCGCGCACTCCCCTCCCGTCGCCTTCGTGCACTTCCCTCCCGTCGCCTTCGCGCACACCCGTCCCGTCGCCTTCGCGCACACCCGTCCCGTCGCCTTCGCGCACTCCCCTCCCGTCGCCTTCGCGCACTCCCCTCCCGTCGCCTTCGCGCACTCCCCTCCCGTCGCCTTCGCGCACTCCCCTCCAAAGAGGATGATCACTCCCTCCCGTCGCCCACGCTTCCTTCCTGACGCACGATCACGCTCCCTCCCCTCCCGTCGCCTTCGCGCGACGCCTCTTTCGCCCCTCCTCACTCTCTTCCGTCGCCCACGCTCACTCCCCTCCCGTCGCCCACGCTCACTCCCCTCCCATCGCCTTCGCGCACTCTCTCCCGTCGCCTTCGCGCACTCCCCTCCCGTCGCCTTCGCGCACTCCCCTCCCGTCGCCTTCGCGCACTCCCCTCCTGTCGCCTTCGCGCACTTCCCTCCCGTCGCCTTCGCGCACACCCGTCCCGTCGCCTTCGCGCACTCCCCTCCCGTCGCCTTCGCGCACTTCCCTCCCGTCGCCTTCGCGCACTCCCCTCCCGTCGCCTTCGTGCACTTCCCCCCCGTCGCCTTCGCGCACACCCGTCCCGTCGCCTTCGCGCACACCCGTCCCGTCGCCTTCGCGCACTCCCCTCCCGTCGCCTTCGCGCACTTCCCTCCCGTCGCCTTCGCGCACTCCCCTCCCGTCGCCTTCGTGCACTTCCCTCCCGTCGCCTTCGCGCACACCCGTCCCGTCGCCTTCGCGCACACCCGTCCCGTCGCCTTCGCGCACTCCCCTCCCGTCGCCTTCGCGCACTCCCCTCCCGTCGCCTTCGCGCACTCCCCTCCCGTCACCTTCGCGCACTCCCCTCCAAAGAGGATGATCACTCCCTCCCGTCGCCCACGCTTCCTTCCTGACGCACGATCACGCTCCCTCCCCTCCCGTCGCCTTCGCGCGACGCCTTTTTTCGCCCCTCCTCACTCTCTTCCGTCGCCCACGCTCACTCCCCTCCCGTCGCCCACGCTCACTCCCCTCCCGTCGCCCATGCTCACTCCCCTTACGTCATGTACGCGCACACCCATCCGTCACTACTAACGCTCCCTCCCTCCCGTCGCCCACGCTCCCTCCCCTCTAACGAGAATGGGGACTCCCCGCGCCTTGCAACTCCCCTTCCTCCTGCTACGCCACACCCCACACTCTCGTCTCCCCATCCCTCATCTCCCCTTCCCTCGTCTCCCCATCCCTCGTCTCCCCATCCCTCATCTCCCCATCCCTCATCTCCCCTTCCCTCATCTCTCCATCCCTCGTCTCCCCATGCCTCATCTCCCCATCCCTCACCTCCCCTAGCCTCACCTCCCCATCGCTCATCTCCCCATCCCTCATCTCCGCATCCCTCATCTCCCCATCCTGCATATCCCCATCCCTCATCTCCCCTTCCCTCACCTCCCCGTCCCTCATCTCCCCATCCCGCATCTCCCCATCCCGCATCTCCCCATCCCTCATCTCCCCATCCCTCATCTCCCCATCCCTCATCTCCCCATCCCTCACCTCCCCATCTCTCACCTCCCCATCCCTCATCTCCCCATGCCTCACCTCTCCATCGCTCATCCATCCATCCCTCATCTCCCCATGCCTCACCTCTCCATCGCTCATCCATCCATCCCTCATCTCCCCATGCCTCACCTCTCCATCGCTCATCCATCCATCCCTCATCTCCCCATGCCTCACCCCATCTCCGCCGCACCCTGTGGCATCGTCACACGTCGCAATTTCCCACCTCTTCCTACTTCCCATCCCCCTCTTCCGCCCTTCCTACCCCCTTCTCTCAATCCCTTCCTCTCGCCCTGCCATCTACTTCCCATCCCCCTTTCCTCGTTTCCCCAGACCTCCTTTCCCCATCCCGTCATTCCCTCTCCCTCCGTTCCCCATCCTTCCATTCCCCATGCCTACTTTCACCATTCCACCATACCCCATTCACCATACTCCTAACCCCATCTCCTCCTCACCCCATCTCCTCCTATACACATCCGCTTCTTCCCCTTCCCTCGTCACCGCGTCCCCTCCTCTCCCCATCCCCTCCTCTCACCATCCCCTCATCTCCCCACCCCCTCCCGTCCTCTCCCCATCCGCCCATCCCACCTCACCACTTCCCTCCTCTTCCCATCCATCCTCTCCTCATCCCTCCCCATCCGTCCTTTCCCCATCCGATCCTCTCACCCTCCCCTCCAGGTGTTTCCCACACCGCCCTCGGCCCAGCGGCACCTCTTCATCCCTTGTGCATTTCTGCACCAGGGAGCTGCTTGGGGCGCTGTGGGCGGATGGCGGTGGGCAGAGTCACACAGCAGAGGCAGACGTGGTGCTGCCTGTCCTCCCTTCCCCCCGTCCTCCCTCCCCATCCATCCTTCCCTTCCTCTGTTCCTCTCTTCCTCCATACGTCCCTTCCTCCGTTTCTCTGTCCCTCTTTCCCCTGGTCGTCCTTCTGTTTGTCTCCTACCGTTCCAGGAGTGTCTTTTTATTTCTTCCTCTTCGTGTTGCTTCCTTGTCAGTTGTCATTCTTTTGTATGCTTACCGGCTGGATTGTTGGTTGTTTGATAGTACCACTAGGTATGATACATGGCCGTGGGAATGTTGTATGTTTATTATTATAACTAAATTTTGATCCATAAAGTAGAGTGACCATTGACCACCTACGAAGTGCAACAATCTAGTAAAAAAGAACCAAGTTACTCAATAATATGTCTTTTCCCACTCTTGTCTGCATACACAGCAGCAAAAAGGCAGGACTTGTGGGTCCCTCCCTACACCTGGTGCTGGGGAACTGTACAGAATGAGCAGGAAAAAACAGAGTGCAGGGGAGACATTGAGCAGGGGGGAAAGAGAGTGAGGAGGGGGGAAGAGAGTGAGAAGGGGGGATAGGGAGTGAGCAGGGGGAAAGAGGGTGGGCATGGGGGAAGGGAGTGAACAGGGGGGGAACAGAATGAGCAGGGGGAAACAGAATGAGCAAGGGGAAAGAGAATGAGCAGCGGGGAAGAGAATGAGCAATGGGGAAAGAGAGTGAGCAGGGGGAAAGAGAATGAGCAATGGGAAAACCGAGTGAGCAAGGGGGAAACGGAGTGAGGAGGTGAGAAGAGAGAGAGCAAGGGGGGAGAGAGCAGGGGGGAATAGAGCAGGGGGGAATAGAGCAGGGGGAAATAAAGCAGGGGGGAATAGAGCAGGGGGGAATAGAGCAGGGGGGGATAGAGCAGGGGGGAACAGAGCAGGGGGGAATAGAGCAGGGGGGAATATAGCAGGGGGGAATAGAGCAGGGGGGTATTGAGCAGGGGGGAATAGAGCAGGGGGGAATAGAGCAGGGGGGAATAGAGCAAGGGGGAATAGATCAGGGGGGAACAGAGCAGGGGGGAATAGAGCAGGGGGGAATATAGCAGGGGGGAATAGAGCAGGGGGAGATAGAGCAGGGGGGAATAGAGCGGGGGGGAATAGAGCAGGGGGGAACAGAACAGGGGGGAATAGAGTGAGGAGGAGAGAGTGAGCAGGGTGGAACAGAGCAGGGGGGAATAGAGCAGGGGGAATAGAGCAGGGGGGAATAGAGTGAGGAGGAGAGAGTGAGCAGGGGGAAACAGAGTGGGGAAGGGGGGGGAGAGTGAGAAAGGGGGAAGAGAGTGAGCAGAGGGAAAGAGAGTGAGCAGGGGGAATGCGAGTGAGCAGGGGGAAAGCGAGGTCGACGGGAGGGGGAGAGCGAGGGCGACGGGAGGGGGAAAAGCACGGAAAGGGATGGGGGGAAGCAGGGAGGGGGATGGGGGAAAGCATGGAAGGGGACATGGGGGAGCAGGGAAGGGGATGGGGGCAAGCAGGGAAGGGGACATGGGGAAGCAGGGAAGGGGATGGGGGAAGCAGGGAAGGGGATGGGGGGAAGCAGGGAAGGGGATGGGGGGAAGCAGGGAAGGGGACATGGGGAAGCAGGGAAGGGGATGGGGGAAAGCAGGGAGGGGGATGGGGGGAAGCAGGGAAGGGGACATGGGGGAGCAGGGAAGGGGATGGGGGGAAGCAGGGAAGGGGATGGGGGAATGCAGGGAAGGGGATGGGGGGAAGCAGGGAAGGGGATGGGGGCAAGCAGGGAAGGGGACATGGGGAAACAGGGAAGGGGATGGGGGGAAGCAGGGAAAGGGCCATGGGGAAGCAGGGAAGGGGAGGGGGGGAAGCAGGGAAGGGGATGGGGGGAAGCAGGGAAGGGGACATGGGGAAGCAGGGAAGGGGATGGGGGAAAGCAGGGAGGGGGATGGGGGGAAGCAGGGAAGGGGACATGGGGGAGCAGGGAAGGGGATGGGGGCAAGCAGGGAAGGGGACATGGGGAAGCAGGGAAGGAGATGGGGGGAAGCAGGGAAGGGGACATGGGGAAGCAGGGAAGGGGATGGGGGAAGCAGGGAAGGGGATGGGGGGAAGCAGGGAAGGGGATGGGGGGAAGCAGGGAAGGGGACATGGGGAATCAGGGAAGGGGATGGGGGAAAGCAGGGAGGGGGATGGGGGGAAGCAGGGAAGGGGACATGGGGGAGCAGGGAAGGGGATGGGGGCAAGCAGGGAAGGGGACATGGGGAAGCAGGGAAGGGGATGGGGGGAAGCAGGGAAGGGGACATGGGGAAGCAGGGAAGGGGATGGGGGAAGCAGGGAAGGGGATGGGGGGAAGCAGGGAAGGGGATGGGGGGAAGCAGGGAAGGGGACATGGGGAAGCAGGGAAGGGGATGGGGGAAAGCAGGGAGGGGGATGGGGGGAAGCAGGGAAGGGGACATGGGGGAGCAGGGAAGGGGATGGGGGAAAGCAGGGAAGGGGATGGGGGAAAGAAGGGAAGGGGATGGGGGGAAGCAGGGAAGGGGATGGGGGCAAGCAGGGAAGGGGACATGGGGAAACAGGGAAGGGGATGGGGGGAAGCAGGGAAAGGGCCATGGGGAAGCAGGGAAGGGGAGGGGGGGAAGCAGGGAAGGGGATGGGGGGAAGCAGGGAAGGGGACATGGGAAGCAGGGAAGGGGATGGGGGAAAGCAGGGAGGGGGATGGGGGGGAGCAGGGAAGGGGACATGGGGAAGCAGGGAAGGGGATGGGGGGAAGCAGGGAAGGGGATGGGGTGAAGCAGGGAAGGGGATGGGGGGGAGGAGGGAAGGGGATGGGGGGAAGCAGGGAAGGGGACATGGGGAAGCAGGGAAGGGGATGAGGGAAAGCAGGGAGGGGGATGGGGGGAAGCAGGGAAGGGGTGGGGCGAAGCAGGGAAGTGGATGGGTGGAAGCAGGGAAAGGTGACAAGTGTGCGCGATGGGAAGGGAGACGGGAGGGATGGCGAGGGCGACGGGGAGAGAGGAAGACGGGGATTGCGAGGGGACGAGCGGGAGGCAGGGCGTCGGGACGAAGGGAAGGCTACGGGCGGAAGGGAGAGCGGCGTGCGGAAGGGAGAGCGACGGACGGGACAGAGAGCGACGGGCGGAAGGGTTGGCAACGGGCGGAAGGGTAGACGACGGGCGGAAGGGAGGGCGACGGGCGGAAGGGTGACGCGCGGAAGGGAGGGCGACGGGCGGGTGGGAGAGCGACGGGCGGAAGGGTGGGCGACGGGCGGAAGGGTGGGCGACGCGCGGAAGGGAGGGCGACGGGCGGAAGGGAGGGCGACGGGCGGAAGGGAGGGCGACGGGCGGAAGGGAGGGCGACGGGCGGAAGGGAGGGCGACGGGATCGACGATCGGATGGGAGGGCGACGCGTAGCAGGTAGAGCGGCGAACGGATGGGAGGGCGACGGGCGAAAGGTAGAGCGACGAGCAGGGCGACGCGCGGAAGGGAGGGCGACGAGCGGAAGGGAGGGCGGCGAATGGAAGGGAGCGACGGTTGGAAGCGTGGGCGACGAATAGAAGGGGGCGCGATCGTGGACTACGAGTAACGAGAGCCAAAGGACCTTGGTGTCGCGGGCAAGCGAGGGCGAATGGGGGAACCTAAGCGACCAGCAACCTAGCTCTAGACCAGGGAGAATATAGCAGGAGCATCGTGCGCGTGTTCGTACGTGAGTTGTGTGCTAAAACAGAGTCTTTTTTGGTGCGTGAATGACGGGTAAACTAAGTATAGTATGCTTGCATGTTAGTACCAGATGGTTTTCAAGTTCACTTCAAGTGAACAGTGCTGCGTTGCCAGCGGACACTCTGCTCGATATGACTTTTGAGTGTCGCTGGCCAATCGCAGATCACTATCTAGCGAGAATGCTCAACTTCGGGTGGTAACACGGTTTTTTGCGAATTCATATTCAGGAATCTTGAACTTGAAAATAGCCATGTGGTACTCGGGCTTTAAACGCTTGGAATCCAGTAACAGCCTGTTTTGTCGCACAACACGCCCAAGGGTTGGGTTTCGGAAGGTTGGTTGGGAGTGGGTAAGGGGCCCACAAACCAAATGTACAGTTCAAACAACGTGGGGTGATCCAGGTTGGGGTTACGCCAAACCAACTTGGGAGACACACCTGCGCGACGAAACCACAGGGTGCGACATCAGAGTGTCGCACTCTCCCGCGTGCATTCCAAGCATTTTACAGGGGTCGGAAATATGAGACGTAGAACTCTACCATTCTCACAAGGAGCGTAGTTCCAGCGCGAGATAAAGTGTTGTACGCTCGCCGATCAAATGTCCCAGAGAACACTTACCTCAGCAAAGTCCTCATAGTTCAATCACCAAGACCCTCATTTACTCCTTAGAGAACCAACTACCTCGAGACGCCTTCCCCATCACTACGTCTTCTTTCTGCACCGTTATTTCCCAGCCCGCGCACTTCACAATCTAGAACGCCAGCAAGGTTGATCCTTGTTATCAACTGCCGTCGCGGAGCTGCCAGTATCCGCCTTGCCTCGCACGCCTCCACTGCCTTTAGTAGGTGAGCTCAACGGTTTAGGGTTATAATTCCTTTCGAAATCGAGCATGACGGAATGTCTGAAGATGGCGGAACGATATGCGGGTTGGGGATAGCTTGCAGAATTAGTGGCCTAATGGCGTTAGAGCGCGGAATTAGTGGCGGAATGTCAGGCAGATGGCGGGATTAGTGGCGGAATGCCTGTAGATGGCGGAAAGAGAGTCGAACTGGTGGGCGGAATGACACGCGGAATGGTGTTAGTTGTCGGAATGAGAGGCGAAATGGTGGTAGATGGCGCATTGAGTGGCGAAATGATGAAATATGGCGGAATGAAAGACGACATGGTGTATATGCAGAGCTCATATTGACGTGAGTTCGGATGAGGAAGAGAGGTTCTGGGATAGGGCTCAGGGAGGGAGAAGGTGCGCTGAGAGGGGGAAGGAGGAGAGGACAGAGGGGGGGAGAAGGTGCGCTGAGAGGGGGAAGGAGGAGAGGACAGAGGGGGGGAGAAGGTGCGCTGAGAGGGGGAAGGAGGAGAGGACAGAGGGGGGGAGAAGGTGCGCTGAGAAGGGGAAGGAGGAGAGGACAGAGGGGGGGAGAAGGTGCGCTGAGAGGGGAAGGAGGAGAGGACAGAGGGGGGGAGAAGGTGCGCTGAGAGGGGGAAGGAGGAGAGGACAGAGGGGGGGAGAAGGTGCGCTGAGAGGGGGAAGGAGGAGAGGACAGAGGGGGGGAGAAGGTGCGCTGAGAGGGGGAAGGAGGAGAGGACAGAGGGGGGGAGAAGGTGCACTGAGAGGGGGAAGGAGGAGAGGACAGAGGGGGGGAGAAGGTGCACTGAGAGGGGGAAGGAGGAGAGGACAGAGGGGGGGAGAAGGTGCGCTGAGAGGGGGAAGGAGGAGAGGACAGAGGGGGGGAGAAGGTGCGCTGAGAGGGGAAAGGAGGAGAGGACAGAGGGGGGGAGAAGGTGCGCTGAGAGGGGGAAGGAGGAGAGGACAGAGGGGGGGAGAAGGTGCGCTGAGAGGGGGAAGGAGGAGAGGACAGAGGAGGGGAGAAGGTGCGCTGAGAGGGGGAAGGAGGAGAGGACAGAGGGGGGGAGAAGGTGCGCTGAGAGGGGGAAGGAGGAGAGGACAGAGGGGGGGAGAAGATGCACTGAGAGGGGGAAAGAGGAGAGGACAGAGGGGGGGAGAAGGTGCGCTGAGAGGGGGAAGGAGGAGAGGACAGAGGGGAGGAGAAGGTGCGCTGAGAGGGGGAAGGAGGAGAGGACAGAGGGGGGGAGAAGGTGCGCTGAGAGGGGGAAGGAGGAGAGGACAGAGGGGGGGAGAAGGTGCACTGAGAGGGGGAAGGAGGAGAGGACAGAGGGGGGGAGAAGGTGCGCTGAGAGGGGGAAGGAGGAGAGGACAGAGGGGGGGAGAAGGTGCGCTGAGAGGGGGAAGGAGGAGAGGACAGAGGGGGGGAGAAGGTGCGCTGAGAGGGGGAAGGAGGAGAGGACAGAGGGGAGGAGAAGGTGCGCTGAGAGGGGGAAGGAGGAGAGGACAGAGGGGGGGAGAAGGTGCGCTGAGAGGGGGAAGGAGGAGAGGACAGAGGGGGGGAGAAGGTGCGCTGATAGGGGGAAGGAGGAGAGGACAGAGGGGGGGAGAAGGTGCACTGAGAGGGGAAAGAGGAGAGGACAGAGGGGGGGAGAAGGTGCGCTGAGAGGGGGAAGGAGGAGAGGACAGAGGGGGGGAGAAGGTGCGCTGAGAGGGGGAAGGAGGAGAGGACAGAGGGGGGGAGAAGGTGCACTGAGAGGGGGAAGGAGGAGAGGACAGAGGGGGGGAGAAGGTGCACTGAGAGGGGGAAGGAGGAGAGGACAGAGGGGGGGAGAAGGTGCGCTGAGAGGGGGAAGGAGGAGAGGACAGAGGGGGGGAGAAGGTGCGCTGAGAGGGGGAAGGAGGAGAGGACAGAGGGGGGGAGAAGGTGCGCTGAGAGGGGGAAGGAGGAGAGGACAGAGGGGGGGAGAAGGTGCGCTGAGAGGGGGAAGGAGGAGAGGACAGAGGAGGGGAGAAGGTGCGCTGAGAGGGGGAAGGAGGAGAGGACAGAGGGGGGGAGAAGGTGCGCTGAGAGGGGGAAGGAGGAGAGGACAGAGGGGGGGAGAAGGTGCACTGAGAGGGGGAAAGAGGAGAGGACAGAGGGGGGGAGAAGGTGCGCTGAGAGGGGGAAGGAGGAGAGGACAGAGGGGAGGAGAAGGTGCGCTGAGAGGGGGAAGGAGGAGAGGACAGAGGGGGGGAGAAGGTGCGCTGAGAGGGGGAAGGAGGAGAGGACAGAGGGGGGGAGAAGGTGCACTGAGAGGGGGAAGGAGGAGAGGACAGAGGGGGGGAGAAGGTGCGCTGAGAGGGGGAAGGAGGAGAGGACAGAGGGGGGGAGAAGGTGCGCTGAGAGGGGGAAGGAGGAGAGGACAGAGGGGGGGAGAAGGTGCGCTGAGAGGGGGAAGGAGGAGAGGACAGAGGGGGGGAGAAGGTGCGCTGAGAGGGGGAAGGAGGAGAGGACAGAGGGGGGGAGAAGGTGCGCTGAGAAGGGGAAGGAGGAGAGGACAGAGGGGGGGAGAAGGTGCGCTGAGAGGGGGAAGGAGGAGAGGACAGAGGGGGGGAGAAGGTGCGCTGAGAGGGGGAAGGAGGAGAGGACAGAGGGGGGGAGAAGGTGCGCTGAGAGGGGGAAGGAGGAGAGGACAGAGGGGGGGAGAAGGTGCGCTGAGAGGGGGAAGGAGGAGAGGACAGAGGGGGGGAGAAGGTGCACTGAGAGGGGGAAGGAGGAGAGGACAGAGGGGGGGAGAAGGTGCACTGAGAGGGGGAAGGAGGAGAGGACAGAGGGGGGGAGAAGGTGCGCTGAGAGGGGGAAGGAGGAGAGGACAGAGGGGGGGAGAAGGTGCGCTGAGAGGGGAAAGGAGGAGAGGACAGAGGGGGGGAGAAGGTGCGCTGAGAGGGGGAAGGAGGAGAGGACAGAGGGGGGGAGAAGGTGCGCTGAGAGGGGGAAGGAGGAGAGGACAGAGGAGGGGAGAAGGTGCGCTGAGAGGGGGAAGGAGGAGAGGACAGAGGGGGGGAGAAGGTGCGCTGAGAGGGGGAAGGAGGAGAGGACAGAGGGGGGGAGAAGATGCACTGAGAGGGGGAAAGAGGAGAGGACAGAGGGGGGGAGAAGGTGCGCTGAGAGGGGAAGGAGGAGAGGACAGAGGGGAGGAGAAGGTGCGCTGAGAGGGGGAAGGAGGAGAGGACAGAGGGGGGGAGAAGGTGCGCTGAGAGGGGGAAGGAGGAGAGGACAGAGGGGGGGAGAAGGTGCACTGAGAGGGGGAAGGAGGAGAGGACAGAGGGGGGGAGAAGGTGCGCTGAGAGGGGGAAGGAGGAGAGGACAGAGGGGGGGAGAAGGTGCGCTGAGAGGGGGAAGGAGGAGAGGACAGAGGGGGGGAGAAGGTGCGCTGAGAGGGGGAAGGAGGAGAGGACAGAGGGGAGGAGAAGGTGCGCTGAGAGGGGAAGGAGGAGAGGACAGAGGGGGGGAGAAGGTGCGCTGAGAGGGGGAAGGAGGAGAGGACAGAGGGGGGGAGAAGGTGCGCTGATAGGGGGAAGGAGGAGAGGACAGAGGGGGGGAGAAGGTGCACTGAGAGGGGGAAAGAGGAGAGGACAGAGGGGGGGAGAAGGTGCGCTGAGAGGGGGAAGGAGGAGAGGACAGAGGGGGGGAGAAGGTGCGCTGAGAGGGGGAAGGAGGAGAGGACAGAGGGGGGGAGAAGGTGCACTGAGAGGGGGAAGGAGGAGAGGACAGAGGGGGGGAGAAGGTGCACTGAGAGGGGGAAGGAGGAGAGGACAGAGGGGGGGAGAAGGTGCGCTGAGAGGGGGAAGGAGGAGAGGACAGAGGGGGGGAGAAGGTGCGCTGAGAGGGGGAAGGAGGAGAGGACAGAGGGGGGGAGAAGGTGCGCTGAGAGGGGGAAGGAGGAGAGGACAGAGGGGGGGAGAAGGTGCGCTGAGAGGGGGAAGGAGGAGAGGACAGAGGAGGGGAGAAGGTGCGCTGAGAGGGGGAAGGAGGAGAGGACAGAGGGGGGGAGAAGGTGCGCTGAGAGGGGGAAGGAGGAGAGGACAGAGGGGGGGAGAAGGTGCACTGAGAGGGGGAAAGAGGAGAGGACAGAGGGGGGGAGAAGGTGCGCTGAGAGGGGGAAGGAGGAGAGGACAGAGGGGAGGAGAAGGTGCGCTGAGAGGGGGAAGGAGGAGAGGACAGAGGGGGGGAGAAGGTGCGCTGAGAGGGGGAAGGAGGAGAGGACAGAGGGGGGGAGAAGGTGCACTGAGAGGGGGAAGGAGGAGAGGACAGAGGGGGGGAGAAGGTGCGCTGAGAGGGGGAAGGAGGAGAGGACAGAGGGGGGGAGAAGGTGCGCTGAGAGGGGGAAGGAGGAGAGGACAGAGGGGGGAGAAGGTGCACTGAGAGGGGGAAGGAGGAGAGGACAGAGGGGGGGAGAAGGTGCGCTGAGAGGGGGAAGGAGGAGAGGACAGAGGGGGGGAGAAGGTGCACTGAGAGGGGGAATGGAGTTGATGTGAGATGTGGAAGAGAGACGAGGAAGGGGAAAGGGAGGTGAGGTGAGAGGGGGAAGGGAGGTGCCAAGGGAGGGGGAAGGGAGGTGCTGAGAGAGGAGGAAGGGAGGTGCTGGCTGGGAGGAAATAGGCGGTGTCAGAGGGGGGAAGGGCAGTGACGGGGAACGGAGGCGGGAAGGGAGGTGCTGCTCCCTTCATATGTTTGTTCCCTCTCATTCCCCCCTTTGCTTCCCATCATTTTCCCCTCTGCTCCCTCATCATGCACCCCTCATTTTTCCCGTCGGAATCCCCTAATTCCCCTTCTCCGTTTCCGATCATTGCCCACTGTAATTCCCATCATTTCCCCCTCTCCTCCGCACTTCCTCCCATATCCTCTTCCCCTCATTTCTCCCTCCTCTCTTCCTCCCCCCTCCTTTCCTCTTTTCCTCCCCCCTCCCTTCCTCCCTTCCTCCCTGCCTTCTTTCCCCTCTATTTCTCCTTTCCTCTCTCCCTTCCTCCATTCCTCTCCTACCAACCTGCCAGTCTCCTTTGCTCGTTTCATCTCCTTCTCGTCTACTTCATTATTCTCGTCAACCTTTTTTCCGTTGTACCTTGCCACCCGTTCTACCCCGCCAGGCTCGTTTACCCTCCCACCTACCAGACACTCGCTTCATCCTTTCATCCCATCTTCGTGTTGCCCGCTTGCCATTCCACTCTCATTCTTTTGTATCCTCTCCAGCTGCTTCAGCCTTGACACTCCGGATTTTGTCTGTACTACAACCACTATGCATGTACTTGCTAAACTTTAGCTGTTTGATAGTACGGGTATGACAAGTAGCCATGCCATGTATCATTGTTGGAGGCTTCATTATAATAACACACTTCAGTCTTCATGATATTGAGCAGCCATTCAGTTTATCACTACAAAGAAGTGCCACTAGAGTTTTCAAACAGAATACTATTGGCACAAGGCCAGAAAGTGTTTCTTCCTACTCCAGACTGCTGCACTGCATTGGGCCACGTGGTTTGCCACATAACATGGTGGTGAGCACCTGTGAAAGCATGGTGGTACAGAGGGGCATGGGGGGAATGGACTGGGCAAAGGGGTTAGTGAACGAAAAGTGAGCAGAGGGGAATAGGGTGAGTGAAGGGGGAAGGGGTAAGAAAGATGTGAAGACAGGGGGAGGAGAGATGTGAAGACAGGGGGATGAGAGATAAGAAGACAGGGGGAGGAGAGATGCGAAGACATCTCCTCCCTCCCCCTCCTGCCTTCTCCCCCCACCCCCCTGTCATGACCTCCCTTCCCCCCCTGTCATGACCTCCCTTCCCCCCCTGTCATGACCTCCCTTCCCCCCCTGTCATGACCTCCCTTCCCCCCCTGTCATGACCTCCCTTCCCCCCCTGTCATGACCTCCCTTCCCCCCCTGTCATGACCTCCCTTCCCCCCCTGTCATGACCTCCCTCCCCCCCCAATAACATGACCTCCCTTCCCCCCCTGTCATGACCTCCCTTCCCCCCCTGTCATGACCTCCCTTCCCCCCCGCTCTTCCTCACCCTCATGCCATCACCTCCCGTCCCCCACGCCCGCGCGCCATTTCATACACGAGCCGGCGACTTCAGTTTTCTCTCCGCCATACCCGCAGTCGTGAAATTTCCACGGGCTAAACCCTATTTCCGCATGCCATGCGATATCATGCTCCCCTCCCTCCCGCCTTTCCCCCCGCCGCCTCTCAGTGTTTTCGCCATGTGCTTTTACCGCTCATTTCCCGCCGCATGTCGACTCGTTTTCCGCCAATCCATCCCCCTCATGCCACCTGTCGTTACCCATCATTCAGCCGGAACAACACCTCTAAAATCAATCCCCGTTTCCCGCCTCCACTCGTCAGTCGCGTCAATCCAGGTGACTACGCTCACCAACCCTAAGCGTGCTTCGTCGTCAAGCTCGTCGCAGCACAGCGGCCACGCGCGCTGTGGCTGAGAATGGGAAACTTGGAGAATAGTAACGGCACGGTGAAGTTTGCTTTCATTCCTGAACTCTTGGCGGAACGCTCGCAAGTGACGGCTATAACATAATCACGAGCATACGTAAGTGGGAGCGCTTCTCCTGCTCACCTGGTGCAACGGTACTTATTGCTTCTGTTTTCACGCCTTTAGATATAAGATTGCTTACTAATGCGCAGGGGTAATGTTCCAACTAGTGCGTGAAAGGATAGCATTGGGGCTTGGCGAATGTTGGCATTGGCACTTGATTTTCCCCTGTCACTTCTCTCCCTTCCACGATCTGTGTTTCAGTCGTCAGGATTGGTCGCACAAAGTGCAAACATTCCAAACCTGTCCCGCAAGAGGCTCGGATGTGATCCAAACCTGCCCCTGAGCTTTGTTTTGGCCTCAACACTCGGGAACTTCGCCCATATATTTCTCCCGCTCGTCAAAAACTTCGTCACTCGTAAACCAATCATAGTCCTCCTTTCCCAACCAAGTGTTTAACACTAGTAAATATGAGACGCGAGCTTTAACTTGTGCATTCTGGAGCGGTTTGCCTATCCACCTCGTTGAACCGTTACCCACCAGTCTATACAGTGGTTCATGAACTGAAATGAAAACGAACTAGGGCCTCACTCTGACTGCGGATCGGTCTGGTAGCTTCCCTAGCTCAAATTTGTACAAGCTTGATGTCTAAAAAATCTCTACAAAAAAACACCTAACATGGCCAGCTTGAATTAGCTACCAAACACTTGAAACTGCGGCCCTGTTCGAAAAGGCAGGCGATTCAGTCCTTGGAACCTTCAAGGCGGTTTCGATTTTTTTTTTTTTTAATATACATATGGTCAGCCCATAGATTGGTGTTAGAGTTACTAGCTAGATGAGTGGATTCGATTAGGTAAGGGGGGGGTACAAGGACTATCGAGAGAGATTGTTGTACCCTCTAAGGAAAGAACCCTACACAACCTAGAGTGAAATAAGCAGAACAATATGTTTTGACACACCCCCATAGGTGAAGTAGGGGATAGCCAAGCCTAACAGTGGTCACAAGACCAGTCAAGCAAGAGAACAAGCAAGGCAAAGCCCAGGGTGGATCTCAAGGACACCACACAATCTGAGCACAAGCAGGCAGCCACAAGGCCAGTTCACATGCAGATTTATAAGAGCAAGGCAGTACACAGATCACAACCTAGCAAGAGGAAACATGCAGGTATAAAGATATATAGCAGTGTACAACAAGAGCAAGTCAAGCAACCAGCAGGTGAGGCAGAGTGGGCACAAGCCCAAGAGCAGTGCAGAAACGCTGATGATCACCAGCCGCAAGGGCCTTGGTGAAGACATCAGCAGTGTTGGCCCGAGAGGCCACGAAAGCAAGGCGCAGCTGACCACGCTGCTGCAGCTCACGCGCAAGGAAGTAGCGCAGAGCAATGTGCTTCGTTCTGTGCTCCAGTCTCTGTTCGCGACACAAGGCAAGCATTGCCTTGTTGTCGACGTACAGAACTGGAGGAGAACGAGGCCGCTCCCCCAAGTCGGTCAGCAGGTAGGTCAGCCAACGGAGCTCCTGTGCAGCCATGGCCCCAGCGTAGATCTCGGCCTCACAGCTGGAACCAAGCACAGAAGAAGAACGAGTGGACCTCCACGAGACAGAACCAGCGCCAAGACTGAAGGTGTAGCCCTGTGACGAACGCTGAGTCGCCTGGTCGTCAGCCCAAGAAGCGTCAGAGTGTCCTGTGAGGACCACAGGACCCCGTCCTCCAAGCACGAGCCCCATGCCCGATGTGCTGCACAAGTAACGCAGTACCCTCTTCGCAGCATCAAAGTGCACCTTTCGGTGCCTGCCGGGTGCCACGTAGCGAGCCAGAAGGCTGAGAGGATACGCGAGGTCAGGTCGTGTGCACGTCATCAGGTACATGAGGCAGCCCACAAGCTCTGGGTACGGACCACTCGGCTCTACGGACTCGTCCGAAGGTGGAGCTGAGAGCGAGTGGCCGGTAGCCAGAGGAGTGGGCTGTGGCGAGGAGTACGTGAAGCGGAAGCGCTGAAGGACCTGGTGCACCATGTGTGACTGAGTCAGGGTGATGGTGCGCCGTGCTCTCTCCCGGGTGATCTGCAAGCCAAGATAGCTCCGCAGCTCACCCAGGTCAGTGCAGGTGTGTCTCTCCTGCAGCTCCGCCTTCACTAGGGTCAGTGCCTCAGTGTCAGCAGTAGCAAAAACCAAGTCGTCGACGTACACGAGGATGTAGAACGGCGGCAGAGTAGTGTCGGTGCGTAGAAACAACGACGGGTCAGCAGTCGAAGGAGCAAACCCAAGAGCCGCAAGTGTCGTCCTCAGTGTGTCGTGCCACTCACGGGGCGCCTGACGCAGGCCGTACACTGGTCGCCGTAGGCTCCACTGGGTACCCGCAGGAAACGACCCAGTGAAACCCTGTGGACGGCGCAACCAGATGGCCTCGTGAAGGCTACCCTGCAAGAAAGCTGTCGAGAAGTCGAGGGAGTGCAGCTCGTAGTCACGCTGAGCTGCAACGTGTAGCAACACCCGAAGAGTGGTCATCTTCGGGGTGGGGGAGAAGGTCTGAAAGAAGTCGACCCCCTCACGCTGACTGAAGCCTCGGGCAACGTAACGTGCCTTGAAGGCAGGCGGAGAACCCGGCGGCCGCTTCACCCTGAAAATCCACATGCCACTGACGATGTTCGCCCCAGATGGGGGAACCTCGTCGACGTAGGTGCCTGTGGACTTCCAGGAAGCCATCTCTGCGTCCATGGCTGTCTGCCACTGAGAGGAGTACTCACCCGAAATCGCCTCCCTGTAGGAGTGCGGGGTGGGGATGTCAAGTGCATCCGGGTCTCCTTCAGGGGCAAGCAGCATGGTCGCGTGATGGGGTGAAGCGGCAGCAAGGCACTCCAACTCCTCCTGTCTGTCCTCAAGAACGTCACAGCCAAGGGCAGTGCAGCCAAGAGCAGTCTCACCCCCGACGGACGGAGGACAGGCAGGGACAGGGTCAGAGACAAGACTCGCAAGGTAGTCTAGGCGGTACACAGCAGCAAAGTCAACGAGCTCAGCTACTAGGGCAGACGCAGCAGGAGACGAGAACGTAGGGTCCGTCACAACCGTAGCAAGAAGGCGAGTAACAGTCGGACTGGACGCACGAGTAAGGTCAGACGGAGGGTCAGCAACGTCAGGCAAAGAAGACGCAGGAGGTAACGGTAGGACAACACGCTGAGGAACAGAGGAAGGACGGAGTGTCATATCGTGAGTGCCGGGGACAGCCGGAGCACGCTGACGACGAACACGAGGAACACGAGCACGGACAGCAGCTCTAGGCTCAGGCTCAAGGCCAAAGCTAGACTCAGGCTCTCGACGCTCAGGGGTGGAAGCACGAGTCTCAGGCTCTCGACGCTCAGTCAGGGACTCTGACACCGCAGTGTAAGGAGCAGGAGCAGGCAGTGGGGAGTGTGGTAGCAGCGGCGGCTGTGACTGGTCAGCCGGTGGACACAGCAACGGAGGAGTAGTACCTGCCACAGGGAAGCCAGTAGCACCTGGCTGAAGACTGAGAAGGTGGCGAAGAGCACCAGTAGCTCCACCAGGACCTCCAGCACCTCCAGCACCTCCAGCCCCAGCAGCTTCGGCGCCTCCAGCACCAGCAGCTCTAGCAGCTCCACGACCTCCAGCACCAGCAGTACCTCCAGTACCTCCAGCACCAGCAGCTCCACGACCTCCAGCACCAGCAGCACCTCCAGTACCTCCAGCACCAGCAGCTCCACCAGGACCAGCAGCACCTGCAGCTCCCCGACCTCCAGCACCAGCAGCACCTCCAGTACCTCCAGCACCTCCAAGACCTCCAGCACCAGCAGCACCTCCAGGACCTCCAGCACCAGCAGTACCTCCAGTACCTCCAGCACCAGTAGCTCCAGGTCCTCCGGTAGGAGCTCCGACGACACCAACACCAGAAGGACTCGCAGCACCCCCAGAGTCAGCACTCGAACTCGAAGCACCCCCAGAGGCAGCATCCTCGGTCTCAGCACTCGCAGGCTCAGTACCCTCAGTCGCAGCACCCTCAGGCCCAGTACCCTCAGTCCCAGCACCCCCAGGCTCAGTACCCTCAGTCCCAGCACCCCCAGGCTCAGTACCCTCAGTCCCAGCACCCCCAGGCTCAGTACCCTCAGTCTCTGCTCCAGTGTCCACAGCAGCAGGCTGCAGAGGCGGCGAAGACGGCCGTGGCGGGAAACCCGGGGGGGTCTCCAAGCGAGGAGTGCGGCGAGTGGTCGCCGTGTCGTCGGCGACGGCGTCACCCCCCTCAGGTGAGTCAGAGGAGTCAGAAGAGATCTCAACTGGCTCATCCAAAGGGGGTGGGTCTACCTGGGACACACCTGAGGGAGCAGGACCCTGTGGGGGAAGGGGGTCTACCGGGGGGGGGACTGGTACCAGGAAGAGAGGTGCGAGAGGGACCGGGTGGGACGCGTGCGGGTGAAGTCGGTAGTAACAGACCGACTCGTCAAAGGTGACATCCTGAGAGGACAGAACACGACGCGAGGCAGGGTGGTAGAACTGCCAGGGTGGAGCGTCGGTGGGGAAGCCCAGGAAGACACAGCGGAGAGTGCGAGGGGAGAGCTTGCTCGCTTTGGTATCGCGAACAAGGGAGAGCGCGCCCCAGACCCGAAACGACGACGCATCACCAGGCTGTCCCGTCCAACGGAGTGTGGGCGAGGTCTCTGGAGCAGAGACACGGGGCCAGAGGTTGAGCTGATGCGCGGCGTATCGGACCGCAAACGGCCACAGGAAATGGGGAGCAGCCGCATGGATCATGGAGGTACGAGCAACCTCCATGATCAGGCCAATGCGACGCTCAGCGATCCCATTTTGCTGCGGAGAGGCCGGAAGCGTGAACGACTGGCGGATGCCCTCATCCTGGCAGAACGTCTCAAGGACGCCAGAGGAGAACTCACCACCCCTGTCAGAGTGCAGACGCAGGACTGGGAAGTCCTGCTGAAAGCGCTCGTGCAGCTGGAGACGAGTAGCACGGATCCAGCGGATCAAGACACCACTGACATCCGCCTTGCGCCGCAAGGGGAAGACTGTGGTGTAGCGTGTGTAGTCGTCAACCACCAGCAGGAAGTAGCGCTCCTGGTCCGTTCCACCGACGGGGGCCGGGCCCCACACGTCCATGTGGAGAGTCTGCAGAGGAGCAGTGGTCGGAGGAAACTTGGAGGAGTGAGGAGCGGCGCGCTGCCGCCCCTCGACGCAAGGAAGGCACGGCGGCGCAAGTGAGCGCGGGAGGGGGGGCAGGGTCTCAGGGAGGCCAGTGACCAGGAGCCGGGAGTGCATGCGGCGCAGACGCTGCAGGGAGGGGTGACCAAGACGGTGGTGCCAGCGCTGAGTCTCGTGCGTGAGTACTCGGCACGAGCAAGACGCAGCTAACTGCCCTGACGCAGACGCTCGACTCGACGTAGCTACCAGACCTGACTCAGCCACCTGTGCAGACGCAGTGGTCAGTGTGTACAGACTAGACCCAGGCTGTCGAGTGAACGTAGCCAGGTGACGGCCAGTCCGGGAGCACGTACAGATCGCCACACGCTGCCCTCCAGGAATAAAGGTATCAACCCAGACATCCTGAATGGCAGCGTTGCTCACCAAGTTCGTCGAGAACGTGGGGAGGTGGAGACCTGACAAAGAGCCGGAGGGGACTGCTGGACAAGGGAGGACCGTGGAGGCTCTCGCAACCACTGGGCCCCCAGAGGGGTCAGCCAGTGAGACTGGGACAGGTGCTGTGAGTGGTGTGACTGTGGTGCAATCACGGAAGAAGCAACGTGACGCGCCGGAGTCAAGCGTGAACGTGTGCAAGACCTCAGCTGAGGCAGGACCTGTGGTAGTAGACGCACTAGCAACTAGAGCGTCGGTAGACTCACGGGCACCTAGAGCTGCAGCAGACTCACTAGCACCTGGAGTGGCAGCAGACTCACTAACACCTGGAGTGGCAGCAGACTGACTAACACCTGGAGTGGCAGCAGACTCACTAACACCAAGAGCAGCGGTCTTAACATAACGATAACCTCCACCACCAGGACGACCTCGCTGAATAACCCACTCACGAAGCTGCTGAGGGGTGGGGTCGTCCGGGAGAAGCAGTGCCCGCTGCTGTCCACCCCTGGCCTCAGCGACTGCCGCGGAAGTGGCCATGACAGACAGTGACTGTCAGGAGTAGGTCCAGCACCTCCAGCTCCTACAGCGCCAGCAGCACCTCCTACACTCCCAGCAGCACCTCCTCCACTCCCAGTAGCACAAGTAGCAGCAGCAGCAGTAGTAACAGCAGCAGGGCGGTTCGGTGGGGGTGGGAGGCCGCACCTCCACCACTCCCAGCAGTACTCCCTCCAGTAGCAGCAGTAGCAGGGCGGCTCGGGCAGCAGCAGCAGACCGAGCAAGCAGCAGCAGCAGCAGTAGCACTAGCTGTAGCAAGTGCAGTAGTAGGAGCTGCAGCAGTAGCACTAGCTGTAGCAAGTGAAGTAGTAGGAGCTGCAGCAGTAGTACTAGCTGTACCAAGTGAAGTATTAGGAGCTGCAGCAGTAGCTTCAGTCAGGAGCAGTTGCAGTAAGTGCTGGAGTAGGAGCTGCAGCAGTAGCACTAGCTGTAGCAGAAGTAGCTTCAGTCAGTACCAGCTGTACCAAGTGCAGTAGTAGGAGCTGCAGCAGTAGCACTAGCTGTAGCTGGAGTAGCTTCAGTCAATAGTAGCTGTAGCAAGTGCTGGAGTAGGAGCTGCAGCAGTAGCACTAGCTGTAGCAGCCGTAGCTTCAGTCAGTAGCAGCTGTAGCAAGTGCCGTAGTAGCAGCAGCAGCAGTAGCACTATCTGTAGCAGCACTAGCTTCAGTAGCAGCAGCAGTGAGTAGCGCTAGCTGTAACAGGAGTAGCGTCAGTAGCAGCAGCAGTGAGTAGCGCTAGCTGTAGCAGCAGTAGCTTCAGTAGCAGCAGCAGTGAGTAGCACTAGCTGTAGCAGCACTAGCTTCAGTAGCAGCAGTAGTGAGTAGCACTAGCTTCAGTAGCAGCAGTAGTGAGTAGCACTAGCTGTAGCAGCACTAGCTTCAGTAGCAGCAGCAGTGAGTAGCACTAGCTGTAGCAGCAGTAGCGTCAGTAGCAGCAGCAGTGACAGCTCGGGCTGGGCAGCGCGTAGTAGCAGTAGGCGCGCGTGGGCTGTGGGCGTGCCAACCAGGGGCGCGCAACAGGTGCGTGCGGGGCGGCACGACGAGGAGCGCGCATCAGGTGCGTGCTAGGGGCTGGCGGGCAGCGTGAGTGGCGCGCGCAGCAGCAGGAACGAGGGGGGGACCGGGCGTAGGGGCTGACGGGCCGCGCGAGAGGCGCACGGGGCAGCTAGGGCTCGGTCAGGGGGGTCGCACGTGACTAGGAACAGAAAATCGCGTCTAGGCAGAAAAGGGAACCGTCTCGCCTAGGGCACGTTTTCGCATTTCGCGTTTCTCCTAGGGGCGCGACTCGGGCAGCAGGTCGAAATAGTAGTGGTGGGCCCTTTTAAAATTTCGGTCCTAAGGAGCATTGTGCTCTTAATACCATGTTAGAGTTACTAGCTAGATGAGTGGATTCGATTAGGTAAGGGGGGGGTACAAGGACTATCGAGAGAGATTGTTGTACCCTCTAAGGAAAGAACCCTACACAACCTAGAGTGAAATAAGCAGAACAATATGTTTTGACAATTGGTGCCAAACCTGGTGAACCCCTCCAAACCAGACGGAATGAGCATGCATGCGAATGCAATAAACACAACAGCCCCTTCTTACACAGCCAATCAATGAGCCCTAGTCCATCCCCATCCGCGCCTCCCCAAAAAGGGGATTTACGCAGGGATGGGTTAGGGCTCGTAGTGAGAGGGGTGTAGCATCGCCCCGACGACCCCCTCCTTCGAATCTTGGGAGGTGATGCTTCCGACTTGGTCAGGCGATTGCGAGCCATAGAGGAAGTTGCTTCGAAAAGCCTGCTGAACCGTAGCCCAATCCCTAGACCATCTCGGATTCGCTTACCTGTCGAACAGGTCGATCTCCCGTCGCTCTGCAAGGAGTGTTGCGCGGAGGGAGGCTTCGGAGATTGCGCCTTGAGCGCGAATGGGTGACTTGCACTGTCGCCGCTTTGGACCCAAGCCAGCGATGATGAAAGTCACAAACATGCTTCGTTAAAGCCCGAGTCTAGAATGGCAAGGGTTCAAGTTCAAGATTCTTGAACTAGAATTCGCCAAGGAACAAGGTAACCCGGTTTGGATCTGCTAGCACCTCGCGACCCACCGAGAGGGAATTGAAGCGCGAGGCAGTGATTGGCCAGATACAGCACAGGCATTTCCACAACCACCCTCGCCATAAAAAACAAAAGCACATGGTACTGTTCAGACTTCTCACAACTTGAAAGCTCTCTACCACTCTAGACTCTAGACGTAGTAGGCTCCTTAGCCCGTCATTCCGTGAATCGTACACCGCGCTGAAGTTTTTTTTTTTTTTTTTTTTTTTTTTTTTTTTTTTTTTTTTTTTTTTTTTTTTTTTTTTTTTTTTTTTCTCGCAATCAGTCATTCTGCCTAACACTTCCAGTCCACGTCCTTCAGATCTCACCCTTCGATCAGGTTAGGACCCTCGCAATCGTCGTTCACGACTGTCGTGACTTGCCTCCCAGCCCTTCCGTCGCTCCCGTCGCTCCCGTCGCTCCCATAGCTCTCGTCGCTCCCATAGCTCTCGTCGCTTCCATCGGTCCCACCCCTCAGACACTCCCAATCCTATCGCTCGCATGCAGGATGCGCAGAAAGATAGCAAGAACCGTCGCTCTTGTCCCTCGTTGCTCATGTCCCTCCCATCGCGTTTGTCCCTCCCGTCGCTCCCGTCCCTTGTCCATCCCGTCGCTCACCGCTTTCCCTTTCCGTCGCCCACGCTCTTCCATCCCGTCGCTCACCGCTTTCCCTTTCCGTCGCCCACGCTCTTCCATCCCGTCGCTCACCGCTTTCTCTTCCCATCGCCCACGCTTTTCCTTTCGTTCCCCCTCGCATTCCCTTCCCGTCTTTCCCGCTCCTCCCGTCGCTCCCGCTCCCGCTCCTCCCGTCGTTCCCGCTCCTCCCGTCGCTCCCGCTCCCGCTCCTCCCTTCGCTCCCGCTCCTCCCGTCGCTCCCGTCGCTCACGTTGCTCCCGTCGCTCTCTTCCCTTCGGTCCCTCCCGTCCCTCTCCGCCTCTCGCCTTCCTTCCCTCTTCGCCTCTCCTTTTTCCCTACACAGTTCTACCCTTCCCTACACAGTTCTACCCTCCGCCTCTCGCCTCTGCGCTGCGTCCCCCCTTCCCTACGTGCAGCGTCCCCGCTTCCCTACGCACATTTCCCGCCCCCTTTCCCTACGTGCAGTTTCCCCGTTTCCCTACGTGTAGTTTCCCCCTTTCCCTACGTGCAGTTTCCCCCTTTCCCTGCGGGCAGCTTCCCCACGCCCCATGCCCCACGCCCCATGCCCCATGCCCCATGCCCAATGCTCCAAGTTCACATGCCACATGCCCCATGCTCTCTTTGCCTCTTCGCCTCTTCCATTCATCCCTCCTTCCTTCGGTTCACCTTTCACCCCTTCCACCTTCTTTACCACTCCTCCCCTGCCTCACACCTCCACTCTTCCCACCTCTCTCTGCTCCTACCCTCCCTTCCCGCTCCCCGCTCTTTGCGCTCGTCTTGTTTGCGCTGCCCGCCACCCTCACTTTCCGTGCGCGCCGCCCTTGTTCTCCCTGCCCGTTCGGAGCACTAGTGTTCCCCCTTTCTGAACCCATCCGCTTCCCCGCCCTTCCCTCCATTTCCCCTTGCCTCTCCCTCTCCCCCTTCCATATCCCATCTGCCCATCCTCAACCCGCTCACTCATTCCCATCGCCCTCGCCGACTTCGTTTCCCCTGCCCATCATTACTCTCTGTCTAGTAGTTCGCTCGTGTCGTTTCTCATTCCGTCAAATATTCATTTCCTTACTCGTGTTCCGTGACTCTAATTTTCTGTAACTCCCGCAATCCCACTACTCTCTCACTCCCGCCCCGCACTCACTCCCGACGCTCTCTCACTCCCGCCCCGCACTCACTCCCGACGCTCTCTCACTCCCGCCCCGCACTCACTCCCGACGCTCCCTCACTCCCGCCCCGCACTCACTCCTGACGCTCTCTCACCCCCGACGCTCTCTCACTCCCGACATCCTCCTGGGTTCCTACCTACATCCTCATTCTTTCCCCCTGTCCTTCCCTCCGTTTTGCCCTTGTTCCACCCTCCCTTCCCCCCTGTCCTTCCCTCCGTTTTGCCCCTTGTTCCTCCCTACCTTTCCCCCTGTCCTTCCCTCTTCCCTCCGTTTTGCCCCTTGTTCCTCCCTACCTTTCCCGCTGTCCTTCCCTCCGATTTTCCCCTTGTTCCTCCCTACCTTTCCCCATGTCCTTCCCTCCGTTTCGCCCCTTGTCCCTCCCTCCCTTTCCCCCTTGTCCTACCCTCTGTTTCCCCCCTTGTCCCTCCCTCCCATTCCCCCATGCCCTTCACTCCGTTTCCCCCCTTGTCCTCCCTTCTCACTCCAGGGTCTTCTCAAGTCGCGCCCCCGACTTGCGACTTACAAAATGCATGTGCAGCACCACCACGCACCTTTCGCGGTTATGAACCGGAAGAGAGAGAATGGGCTCGAGATGGATGAGGCAGTCATTTTCAGGAATAATTGACTTGACAAACTATCTCATCTGTTTTTTTTATGTCCCTGGTTTCACCTTGTATTGAAATGTGGAAATCCTTCTCAGAATCTACATGCAACGGAATGGTTGGGATTAGGGTTTGCAAGCATACAAATAGGAGTCCTACAAATGTTGTACCCTCTAGGGAGTGCCTCACTGCAGCCTATCATAACATTAACATTTGACACACCCCCATAGGCTAAGTGAGGGACACCAGGGCAAGCAAGGTGAAAACAAACGGTCACACGACCAGTCAAGGCAAGACAAGCTCAGGGTGGATCTCAAGGACGCCACACAAATTCCGAGCACAAGCAAGTGGCCACAAGGCCAGTTCAAGAGTTCACTAGGATATAAATAGGAAAACACAACAAGCAGAGCAAGCAACAAGACTACAGCAACCGGGGGCCTACCTCAACAAGCCCCAACTGCACACAGAACCTGTGGTGATCACCAAGCGCCAAGGCCTTGGTGAAGACGTCTGCAGTGTTGGCCTCTGAGGCCACAAAGTCCAGGCGTGCCTGGCCGCGTCGCTGCAGCTCTCGCAGGAGGAAGTACCTCACGTCAATATGCTTCACTCTGCTCTCCAGTCGAGGCTCTCGACACAGGAGGATCATGGCCTTGTTGTCAGCGTACAAGGTCAGTGCAGAGCGAGGCCGCTCACCAAGGTCGGCGAGCAAGAAGGTCAACCAACGAAGCTCCTGTGCCGCCATGGCACCAGCGTAGATCTCTGCCTCTGCACTGGAAGTAGCCACAGACGACGACCGAGTAGACCTCCACGACACAGCACCAGCTCCCAGACTGAAGCAGTAACCCTGAGTCGAACGCTGAGTCTCCACGTCGTCAGCGTAGGAAGAGTCGCAGTGACCAGTCAACGCCACTGGCTGAGTCCCTCCAAGCACAAGCCCCATGCCTGATGTAGTCGCCAGGTACTTCGCCACCCTCACAGCAGCTGTCCAGTGGACAGGACGGTGTCTCCCAGTCGCAACAAAGCGAGAGAGGACGCTGAGGGGAAAGGCGAGGTCCGGCCGAGTACAAGTCATCAGGTACATGAGGCAGCCCACCAGCTCTGCGTAGGGACCACTGGACTCAAAAGGCTCGTCGGGAAAGGGGCCAGTGAGTCTGTGGTCAACAGCAAGAGGAGTGGGCTGTGTGGTGGAGAACTGGAAGTCGAACCGCCGAAGGACCTGCTGCACCATGTGTGACTGCGTCAGTGTGATGGTGCGAGCGGCTCTGTCCCGGGTGATCTGCAAGCCAAGGTAACGCTGCAGCTCACCCAGGTCAGTGCACTTGTGTCTCTTCTGCAGTTCGAACTTCACCTGAGCCAGGGCTGCCCTGTCTGCTGTAGCAAACACCAAGTCGTCGACGTAGACAAGGATAAAGAAAGGAGTAGAACCCGCTCGAACAAACAGCGACGGGTCGGCGGAGGACGGGCTGAACCCAAGGTCACGAAGCGTGGAGCGAAGAGTGTCGTGCCACTCACGGGGCGACTGGCGGAGACCGTAGACTGGTCGCCTCAGGCTCCACTGGGTCCCAGGTGGGAAGGTGTCAGTGAAGCCAGGAGGACGGCGCAGCCAGATCTCCTCGTGCAGTCGGCCCTGGAGGAACGCAGTGGAGAAGTCGAGGGAGTGCAGCTCGTAGTCTCGCTGCGCTGCTATGTGGAGTAACACCCGAAGAGTAGTCATCTTCGGGGTCGGGGCGAAGGTCTGGAAGAAGTCAACTCCCTCACGCTGACTGAAGCCCCTAGCCACGTAGCGCGCCTTGAACACCGGCGGTGCTCCAGGCGGCCGCTTCACCTTGAAGAGCCACATGCCATCGACTACGTTCGCCCTGGGAGGGGGAACTGCGTCGACGTAGGTGCCTGTGGATCTCCAAGACGCCAACTCTGAGTCCATAGCCGCTTTCCACTGAGAGGCCCACGCCCCTGACACTGCCTCGCGGTAAGTGCGAGGAGTCGGTATGTCAAGGGCGTCGGGGTCTCCCTCAGGGGAGAGCAGCATGGCACACACAGAGGGAGAAGCGGCTGCCCAGTACTCCAGCTCAGACTCTCTGTCCTCTAGGACGTCACAGCCAAGGGCAAACTCACCCCCGACGGACAGAGGACGGTAGGGAGGAGCTGGCACCACACGGGTGGCGTAGTCAAGGCAACTGGCGGCAGCAAACTCAGCGACAGCGGCAGTGAGAGCAGAGACCGACGACGGAGGGAAACGAGAGTCGGTGACAAGAGTGGCGAGGACACGTGCGGCAACAGGACGAACAGTGCGGTAGTAGTCAGTGATAGGAGTGGGGAGGGCTGGGAGAGAGGACGGAGGAGGAGACGGGAGAACAGACACAGGAGAAGGAGAACGACGACGAGACGTACAAAGGAGGGCAGTGTGGAGGTCAGTAACAGGGGACGAGTGACGAGCACGCGGAGGACAACGAGTGACCAAGTCGCGACGGACCGAAGGAGGAGGAGACTGGGGAGGAGGAGAAGACCAGACCGCCGGACGGTCGTCAGGAGGAGGCAACGGAGGAACAAACACAGGAGGAGACTGGGAGCGGACAGGAGGAGAGGAGGAAAAGCCTAGGGCCCGCAGGCCACTCACAGGTGGGAACAACTGCCGCTCCAGAGGAAGCTGCGGTGGCGGCTGCGGCTGCTGCTGCTGCGGCGGCGGCTGCGGCTGCGGCTGCTGCTGCGGCTGCTGCTGCTGCTGCTGCTGCTGCTGCTGCTGCTGCTGCTGCTGCTGCTGCTGCTGCTGCTGCTGCCGCTGCTGCTCCAGAAGGTCCAGCACCCGCAGCTCCTGCCGCTCCCTCTCCAACCGCTCCTGCTCCTCACGCTCACGCCGGCGGGCAGCCTGGAGTCATGTGTCGTGGCGGTGGGGAGGCGGAGTGGACTCCGCAGAACCAGGGTCAGACTCCTCAGACTCAGCACCCCCAGAACCAGCACCTCCAGTGCCAGGACCTCCAACTCCAGCACCCCCAGTACCAGCACCTCCAGTGCAAGGACCTCCAACTCCAGCACCCCCAGAACTAGCACCACCAGTGCCAGCACCTCCAGCTCCAGCACCCCCAGAGCTAGCGCCACCTGCGCCAGCACATCCAGCTCCAGCACCCCCAGAGCTAGCGCCACATGCGCCAGCACCTCCAGCTCCAGCACCCCGCGACCGAGTACCCCCAGACCTAGCACCGCCAGTGGCTGCACCTCCAGCCCCAACACCAACCGAGTCCACAGTAACCTGTCGCGGAAGTGCCGAAGGCTGCTGAGGGGACTGTGAGGAGGACTGTGGGGAGGGAGACGCTACCTGACGCGCGGCCGAGGGTAGAGGGGTAACGTGGGACACACCAGACGGGGCAGGACCAGGGGGGGGCGGGGGTACCGGAGGAGCGGGAGCAGGAGGAGGAGAGGGTGCGAGGAAAAGAGGGGGAGGGGGTACCGGGAGACCTCGACAGGGGTACCGGGTGTAGTAGGACACGGACTCGTCAAACCGGACGTCACGGGAGTCTAGGAAGTGGTGGAGGGGAGGGTGGTAAAAGGACCAGTCGGCAGAGTCCACTGGGAAACCAAGGAAGACACAGGGGACGGCGCGTGCCGAGAGCTTGTCCGCGGAGGTGTCGCGAACAAGTGCAAGGCAGCCCCAGACTCGAAAGGCCGACCCGACACCAGGGGAACCAGTCCAAAGACTGGTCGGTGAAACCTCGGGCCGCGAGACACGCGGCTGGAGGTTCAGCTGGTGTGCGGCTTAGCGAACCGCGTGGGGCCACAGAAAATGGGGCGCACGGGCATGGATCATGGACGTGCGGGCGATGTCCATGACCAAGCCAATGCGGCGCTCAGCAACCCCATTCTGCTGTGGGGACTCTGGCAGCGTCCAGGACTGGGTGATGCCCTGTTCGCCGCAGAATCCGCCGAGAATGCCGGAGCGAAACTCGCCCCCACGGTCGGAGTGGAGACAACTGACTCGACGACCACGAGTGCCCTCAGTGGCTAGAAGCCACCTGATCAGCGTAGCAGTCACCTCGGACTTCTTCGCAAGAGGGAACACTGTGGTGTACCTGGAGAAGTCGTCAACGACCACCAGAAAGTAACGCTCCTTCCCAGACCCCTGCGTCGGGGCAGGGCCCCAGCCGGCGGGTCACCTGACCCAGTCGCTACACAAGCACCTAGAGCAGCAACACAAGCACCTAAGCTAGACAGGCACAAGGCTACACTAGCAGGAGGCAAGCAGGCTAACCTACGAACACGCGAGCACACAGATCCATCAGCACTAAAGTCAGCATCAACATACAAAGCATGCTGACGCGCATCGTCCATGGACAAATCAAAGACATCAATCTTACGGGCTAACAGACGAGACCAGCGAGGCGTGACCGCCAGAGGGCCCCAACGAGCCCGGTAGAGGTCGTCGAGGCGGCGGAAGCACCGCGCGGCAGAGTGGTCGTCGCGACCACAGAGACAGGGGCTCCCCGGCCCGGTGATGCACCAGTGGGTGCACGGGCCAGCGTCACGGCGAGGGGGGGGAGGGGCCCAGCTGGAAGTACTGCTGCTGCGGCTGGTGCTCCCAGGGCCGCCCGGACCCCACTGCGGCGGGGGACCCCAGTGCTGCTGCGGACCCCACTGCAGCGGGGGCCCCCACTGCTGGGGTGCCTGCTGCTGCTGCGGTCCCTGCTGCTGCTGCTGTCCCTGCTGTGGCGGGTGCTGCTGTGGGTACCGCTGTGGCTGCTGGTGCTGTGGGCCTCCACCAGTGGGAGGGCCCGGCTGTCCGGCGCCCGCTCCAGGGCCCCCTCCTCCCGGTGCACCACCGCCGCCGCTGCCACCTCCACCCCCGCCGCTCCCACCTCCACCGCCTCCTCCACCGCCCCCTCCACCGCCGCCGCCTCCGCCCCCACCCCCCCCCTTCCCGCCCTTCTTGCCGCTCTTGCCCCGTTTCTGCCAGTCTGCGGCAGAAACGGCAG